CTGTGATTTTATTATAGATACAATTTAAATCTTCACTTTTGCTCGTAATATGATCTATATATTTGCCATGTGGTTACTCATGTTGATGACTACATAATGTCTTATAAGAGTTTTGGGACATTCTTAAATATTTACCCATAGAAATCTTCAATTCTTAGTATACATGGCATTTGGAAGGTGTATTTTATATTTTGAGGACCAGGACATCTGACCATCTTTTGTGGATGGCATTGTAGAGTAGAAAAGAGAAACAGCTAGGCTTTGCTCAGATGATCATGGCTTTCTTCCCCACCAGGATCTCCTCTGAGAATGTAGAACCGTGCTGGGAACAGCTCAGAGTGGAGCCTTAACAGAGATGGCCTGAGGCAGATAGCAGGTGACTTTTCAAGCCTGGGCTTTTCTCACTGAACACACATTCTTTCTCCTGCCCTTGTAAAAAGGCACATTTTCATTTTCTTAGGGTAGTGAAAATCTTTTGTGTGAGGAAAAAGTGTCATCAAGTGTCTTATTCATCAGCATATATACCATCTCTTTAAAATGACAGTGGGAGTAAAAGTTCATCAGTTCAATATGTCTTTCACATTTGGAGACTCCTGACTAATAACCTCTGGTATTTATCATCAGAACAGCCAAAGAACTAAATTCTGGCACATGGTACTCTCACGCACTGAGAAAAACTTAAAAAGACAGAAGATTTTCTCCATTTTTTCCTTCTTCCATTCAAACATATCTTTTTTTGATTAAAAAAAATATGAGCATGCAGAAACATCTGGCCTATATTACCACAGCAGTCTCCTAAATGGCCTCCTTGTCTCCAGTCTGCCCTTTTAAAATCAACTCTATATGCAACAGCTGGAAAGATCTTTCTAGATCTTAGGTCTGCACCAGTCACTCTCTCATGTCACTGGCATATTTTTCCATAACTCTTTTTTGGTTCTTGGGGTCAAGTCCTGTGTAGCCTCTATTGTTGTCTCCCCTGCTTGCACCCTGTCCAAGCCACACTGAGCAGCTCACCATTCCCTGCTTCATGTTGCAAGAGTATTTGCAGACTCATGGACAAATTAGTTCATTCTTCACAAGCTCTCTGTCAGGCTTTGCTGAGCCTGGATTCTACTAGGAGTCCACCCAGCTCCTATCCAGCGTTTATCACACTTGTTTTGAATGTAGTCAACAGCCTTGCTTTTGCTTGGCTGGCATAATACTTTAATTTAAAATTTTTTGAGTCTCATCAGGTAAGGCATATTGTATTCGATTTGCTTAAGACTTCACCGTTCTATATTATACACTACATCCTAATTCTTTATTCTGTGCTGAGTGTTTTAAAACTGCTTATGCTTATCTCTTTTCCCTAATAGACTAGACTACAAACTGCTTGAAGACTAGGATTGCTCATTTTTAACTTTTATATCTATAGTTGTGGCAGAGACTGCTCAGTAAATATTTATTGTATGAATTTATGCCTTTAAAAAGTGAAATTTTAGCTTAAGAAAGACCCAGAAACTCCTTTTGTCCTTTCTGATTGCTTACAAATATTACAAGAATCATGATGCAGCGGGCCTGGCAGATACTATACCCTGTTCCATAAGCGACCCTATACAGTGATTCCATAGGTCTGTGTTCATAATACCGTATTGCTAGGACAACCTCACGTTGGAATTCAAGCCTTTAGTTGCATTTATTTCCACCACTTCCAGGAGATCCATATATATTCTTACAATCCTTCACATGTAATCATTCTTTGTCTTTTGTTATTGTTTTGTTTCCATGAAGCTATACGTTTTCTTGGTTTCATTTCATGTCCACATGACCTTGACACTGCCATCAAACTGGGCTACTAAGAAATATGAATGAAGTAGGATTAGATGTCTGGTTTTATTTGTTTTGTAAGGTCTTAGGACCAAAGTTACAATCGGTAGGGTAGTCATACCTGAATCTGGATTGTGCCAATAAGTAATGCATCCAGTTTTACCAGTTTTACGTATGCTGGTTATGCTGGAAGCTGTAATATAAATGCCCATTGGTTGACCTCTGTGTATCAGCTTTTGGATAATATAGTGTTTGTTTCAATCATTGAATTTTTTTATTTCCCTGATTATTCTCCTCTAGCTATTCAGTTACATACTGCTTTAAAGACACTAAAAAAGATTTGGTGTCCCATAGGACCGAGATTACTCATATTTATGGAATTTCACATAATCAGTGACATAGGACCATGGTACCTGCCTGTGGCAATATTCTTACCATAAATTTAGCCTCCAGAGAATGCTCCTCATTCCCAGGGAGTGGTGTAGATGGTGTAGTGGGACTGCACACCGTAAAGCATTGCTGAGGAAATGTGCAAGTAGCACAAAAATGGTTACGTTTCCAAATACCAAGTTGAAGAAAGAAGAGAAAAGGAAATTCCTTTCATCTAAGCTTCCTTCTGTAGGGAAGTGGTGAGGGGAAATAGATCTTATTACAGAATCTTTTAGCGGCCGGAAATTTCATTGACAATTTTGTTAATGTGCTTGCTTGGATGCCTTCTCAGAGGCCCACTGTGAATTCCTTAGTTGATATTATTAATGGTTAATAGGTGCACCTGAAAATCAAAAAATATTGCACCATTAGGTAATAGGTATGTTAAATGGTTCTTTTTATGTAGAATCAAGCTTATCAGATTATCTTTTTTCCTAACAATGAATACCTCATCCTTTCCAATTTCCTAGTCAAATGCTTCCACATCATTTTGAAGCACATCCAGTTCCAGCTGCATCTATTCTGTTCTATTCTTTGGCGTTCAATTATGTCAAATTATTCAACTTACTTACAGGTCCTTAGCTTTTTTTTTTTTTTTTTTTTTTTTTCCTCTGAGACATAGCTTGATGCATCTCTAGCTGATGATCACCAACCATTCAGCTCGAGTCTGTTGTAAGTAAACAGTGAATCAAAGGGAGCACTAAGCTAAATTTATGGTTATGAAGACATTGCTAGGATAAGTTTCTCCTTAAAGTTTGGTGTTCTTGGGTTGATCTTAGGTATTTTTGTTTTCCTTGTTCCTTTCCTCCCAAACACATATGTGCCTCATTCTGCTTTAGTATTGAAGATTTTCATGGTAGTGACAAAAAGTAAATGCAACCATGTTTTGACTATAAGATAAAAAATCTTTAATTTTCTAAAGATGCTGTATTATTTGGGTTGACCAGAAACATCAGGTTTCCCATACATTTCCATATTTTACTTTATTCATCCTGTAGTTGAAACAACAATACAAGAAATGGTTAACAACCCTCAGGAAAATCTAATATTGTTGCCCTCTGTCATATTTGACTGAAATGCTACTGTATCTTATGACAGAAAGTCAGATGAAGTGATTCATCATTTTAAAATCTTTTTATCTAAAATTCTTATCTTTATACTTCAAGGCCAGATCTGTATGTTGCTCTCTCCTTCATTTCCAGTTTAGTTTGATCATTCTGTTTCTATCTTCTGCATTTTAAGGAGACCCCTTCTCCTCACAATGAAAAGGAGATCCCAAACTCATCATGGAGCGTCTACGATAACTCAGGCTACACTTTGTTCTCCTAGTAATACGGACAATTGCCCTTTGATGCCAGCAGCCATGCTTTATGACAGCCTAAGTCAATGTACAGAATGGGTACCATATGTGATTTCTAAGTGAATGACTGAATGAATACTTGATTTCACAATTTATAGTTCTTTAAGCCAATTTACATTCTATCTTGGACTGTTTCATTTTGAACTTCTATAGACTGTTTAGTAAGAGCAAAACATATTTGATATTTTGGGATTCTATCATGGAGAATCCAAAGTTTGGCATACAATGTTTTAAAATCTATACTTAATTATTCAAGTCAAGGAATGAGTTTTCATCCTGAATACTAATTATTCAACATGTTTCTTACTATGATTACTCTCCATTGGACTTCCTGTAGTTGGAATTTCTTGTAGTATTCCGGAGATGAAAAAATCTTTGGAAAACCATCTGTGTTTCTTAAGAAATAACCTTCCTGGGGCCAGGGATTTATCTCAGTGGTACCACCGCCTGCTTCACAAGCAGAAGGTCCTGATTTCAATCCCCGGTACCAAAGACAACTACATAACAAACAAATAGAAAAACCTTTCTTAGTGTGTGTTATTCATCAAGTTCAACAGGTGTCAACTATGTTTGCAAACATAGAATACCTTGTATGTGGAATGAGTTGGGGATACATAAGTACAATACTTATAATTTGGATGCGAAAGCAAAATTCTACAATAAAAGCCAGTATAAGGGGAAAAAAATAGGAATAACTCTGTAGAAGGCATTAGGGAAGGCTTCCTGAAAGAGATGGCTCTGGATTAGACTTCAACTATGATAATAGTTTTTTGTCTTCTGGGTGGTTATCATGAGGAGAAAATGCCCTTGATGTACCTGTTATATTTATTCATAAAGCAGTGCCTCATTTTAAGGAATAAACTTTCAAAAAGCAAAATTTAAAAAATGTTTGACTCAATACAGTACCTAAATTCACCTTTATATTCTATAGTTTGTGTGATATCTGACAGAGTTGACTCAACCTCGCTATATTAATAGATTTATAAATGCACACATAAGGGTAATATATTTTCTGTTGCCAAGCTTTTATGGTTTCATAAATAGTTCTATCACTAACATTTCTTTAAAAATGAAGCAAAGAACTCATATGTGCTGGTAGAAATTCAGTGTATTTTATAGAACACTGCTGTTCCTGATATAGCCTACGGGATGTGGCTTTTCATAAAAACCTAATGAATTTCCAGATTTGTCAGCTGTTTCCAAACAGATGCACTCTGCTAATCTAATGGAAACATTTTGAGCCCAGATCCCAAATATCAATAGCTTTTATTATTGCAAATTAGTTTGTCTATTGGGTAAATTGGGCTATTTGGTTCTTGATAAAAAGTAGCAAGTAATTTTGTGTGGATGTTTTATATATAATTGCCTTACCAGGGTTTAACTCTCATATTTTTTTTTTTTGCAGAGTTTTAAGTTGAATGTAGATAGTCATTGTGCTCTCAAGGAAGCTGTGGAGGAGGAAGGACATCAACTTCTGGAGCTTATTGCTTCCCACAAAGCAGGTAAATCCTCCTGAAATATTGCAAGTCTTTATGTCTCCAGACTATTAAGAATGAAGAAGCATTGCTGTAAATTACTGCATATATTCACTTCCTTATGTATTATTAATATTTACATTATCAGATTGACCTTCAAGATTTATAAATGTTTCATATACTGCATACAATGCTCTGATACTTATAAGATGAAATACTGCCTCCAAATGGTCTGTTCATTTTATTTTAGGCTTGCTGTTAGCCTGAGTTTCAATTGAAATCACATTCCTGAAAACTTCACATTGACATGCTTTCTGATGTAGCTGCTCTGGAAATAACATTAAGAAAATGAATCACAATTGTGCATATAGTTATAATGCATATGCATTAGAGTACCTATAGATATCGTTACAGATATACAGCCGGAGTATAGAGATATCTGATTATTTCCCTGCCAATTTACACACATAAATGTTTTGTATGATTTTTGCTGGTCTTTGCATTAGCAGAGTTTTTGGCCTCCAACGAATTCATATTCCAGTATTAATCTATTTATGAGGAACAGATTATAAATAAAAACAGTTTTATTATTTGGTTATACTTATCCTGATAATAGAAGATCATATAACAAGATGAGTTATAGCTTGGCTCTTTTCACTTTCTGTATCTAAATAGGAAAAGCACAGCATTAATTAGTTGTGTTAAAAACTACTGTCTTAATTCTGGTTCATTTACTGTATTTCTCATGAATTAACTTTATTTTCATACATCTTTCTGATTATTATAAAGTCTCTACTCATATATACTCAGGGCCTTTTACTTAGAATGTGATGGTATAATTTTAATAAACTTTATACATTGTGATTTTTTTGTTCCACATGCATTTATTCTCAATCAGTATACTAAGTTTATGTCAATTTCCCAACTAGGTGTATATGTGGTTATACTGTTATTGTGTCTTTATATCTTGTGTCAAGAATTGCTAGTCTCTATTCTGAGTAACAAATGCTAAGATAGTAGGTGATGGTAAGGTCACTTAAAATATGTATATTATTTGAAACAGTCACCTAATTTATAAATAATAAAAATGGATAAAGATGCAGTCAGGTCCACAACTTGTGCTTTCCCCTCCTTTTGGAGAAGGATTGAAGGACATGCTACAGATGATTGCAAGTCAATGGAAGGAGCTGCAGAGGCAAATCAAACGGCAACACAGCTGGATTCTTAGAGCTCTGGATACCATCAAAGCCGAGATCCTGGCTACTGATGTGTCTGTGGAGGATGAGGAAGGGACTGGAAGCCCCAAGGTAAGTGGCTTGAAGTTTGCCTTATTTCTTCTTATTTCTGTCTTCTTTTGAACTAGGCACCACTGAAGTTTTCTTTCCACCCTAAGGCTTTTCATTTCTAGAGGGTAAACTTTATTTATCTATCTATCTATATATAAACAAAATGAAATGGCTTGGCTTAAAACAATAAAAAAATCCTACAACTTTCAAGTTTTCCAGGAAGAAATCTTTTTATGAAAAGTGGCAATGTAGGAAGGAGATATTACTTTAGGGATGGGAAAAGGGGAGACATAAAACATTTAGTAAACAAAACATAAAGCATCTTTAACATGAATAATCAGAATGGTTTTAAATTGTTTTGTTGCAACTATAAATCACTATAATCAGTGCAATCACTCAGCTCTGACATCCATTAGCCGCTTGGTTACAGCAAATTAACAAAGAAGAGAGAAAGTGATTCATTATCTCATTCCTGTTAATGACTATCAGATGCATTGCCTAATTAGGGGATGGTCATTGTAGTGGGAAGAAGGTCATATGTTTTGCTACAAATCTTTTTGCTCTGAGTGTAAGTTCTCCATAATGGTGCATGCATCGAACACAAGTATTTTAAAAATGATTATTGATATATTTTGGTTATCCATTTTAGATTTATAAAATAACCTATAAGGTGTATACAACCAAACTTTAAATAAGGCACGTTTTAATACAAAGTACTACTGTTCTAAAAGCATTTTTGGATTTATAATGTGAGAGATAATTTTCTTTATTTGTAATTTTTCTGTAGTTTCTCCTTTTTTTTTTTTTTTTTTTTTTTTTGGGGATTTTCTATAAGGGGCTTACCACG